CAAAAAGTGAACCCGTGTCAAATTTCACTCCCCCTTGAAACTTAGCCAAGAGTAAAGTAAGGCATTTGTTTTAGGCGTAATTTCACAAGAACCCACAGAACTCTAAATTCCAAGGCAGCAGTGGGAAAAGTTGAGGATCAATCCGAATTATACAACAGGATCCTCGGGAAAGGTCAGCTATTGGCAACACCAAATAGCTCTGGAAACAGGACAGAGAAAGAGCTTCAGCTAGGTCCCTGGAAACCCCTCTCCCCACAACGACAACAGAAGTCTGAAAGTTTATTCTCTGCAGAGGGTGAAACAGAAGACTTGGGGGCCTGGGATTTGAGAAATGTGTGAGGATGCGGATATCATGCCAACAACAAGGGACTGAGAGACCAAAAACAGGCTAACTGTGAGACTCTTGTCCCTCCTACCCGTCCCAGAACACTCCCAGAACACTACCTACCACACAAGAGTCAGAAAAACTTTCCTGGGGAATCTGACCAGCCCAAGTGGAAACAAAAGGTACTTGGGGCACCTGGCTGGCTCAGTCGGAGGAGTGTGTGATTCTTGATCTCAGGGTCATGAGTTCAAGCCCCTCATTGGGCATAGAGATTACTTAAATAAATAAATAAAACTTAAAAAAAGAAAGAAAGAAAAGATACCAATACTAAGGATTCCCAAACTATCCACCTATATCACCCAGAAGTGAAACTCAAAGTCAACAAGCCACTTGTCCCTTCCCAGTTCACTCAAAGCTTCCATTCAGCAGCAAACCCCCCACCCTTGATCATGAGCATATGACCAAGATGCCAGACATCTGAGGAAGACCTCCAAAACAGAGACAGAGGGGTGCCTGGGTGGCTCAGTCATTAAGCATCTGCCTTCAGCTCAGGTCATGATCCCAGAGTCCTGGGATCAAGCCACGCATCAGGCTCCCTGGTCTGCGGGAAGCCTGCTCTCCCTCCTCTACTCCCCCTGCTTGTGTTCCCTCTCTCGCTGTGTCTCTCTCTGTCAAATAAATAAATAAAATCTTTAAAAATAAATAAATAAAACAGAATACAGCAAAACAAAAAACAATCAGAAGAAACAGAAATCATATCTAGAAAACATCTTTTTAAAAATTATCAGCAGAGGGGCGCCTGGGTGGCTCAGTTGGTTAAGCAACTGCCTTCAGCTCAGGTCATGATCCTGGAGTCCCAGGATCGAGTCCCACATCGGGCTTCCTGCTCAGCAGGGAGTCTGCTTCTCTCTCTGACCCTCTTCCCTCTCGTGCTTTCTATCTCTCATTCTCTCTCTCTCAAATAAATAAATAAAATCTTTAAAAAAATTATCAGCAGAGAATAAAAGAACATATTACATCCAATAAATAAGAACATGGTGCTATAGGGTGCCTGGGTGGCTCAGTCAGCTAAGCATCTGCCTTCAGGGTCATGGGATCGAGCCCCACATCGGGCTCCCTGCTCAGCAGAGAGTCTGCTTCTCCCTCTCCTTCTGCCACCCACACCCCCTGCTTCTGCTTTCTGTCTCTCTCTCAAAAAAATAAATAAAATATTTTTAAAAATAACATGGGGGTGCCTGGGTGGCTCAGTTGTTAAGCATCTGCTTTCGGCTCAGGTCATGATCTCAGGGTCCTGGGATGGAGCCCCACATCAGGCTCCCTGCTCAGCGGGGAGCCTGCTTCTCCCTCTCCCACTCCCCCTGCTGGTCTTCCCTCTCTTGCTGTGTCTCTCTCTGTCAAATAAATAAAATCTTAAAAAAAATTAAAATTAAAGTTAAAAAAAGAACATGGTACTATACAAAATAATAGAATATTGAGAGAATACAAACAATTCCTAGGAAATACAATGGAAATGACAGACTCAATAAAAAGTTTGAAAGGTAAAGTTGAGGAAATCTCTCAGAAAAAAAAAAATAGCAAAAAGATAAAGACACAGAAAACAGAAGCCAAAGGTTAAAAAATAGGGAATAATCCAGGCAGTCTGACATCTGAGTAATAGTAATTCCAGAAAGAGATAATACAGGAAACTCAAAGGAGAATCAAGAGTGAAATAATTCATGAAAATTAACAGGACTAAAGGACATATGTTTTCAGATTGAAATGGTGCTCTGAGGCCCCTCTTAATGGATAAACGTAGATCTGCAACAAGGCACATTCCTGTGAAATTCTAGAAAACTGGGTAAAGAAAAGATACTGCAACTGCTAGAGCAGGGGAGAAAAACAGAAGCAGAGGAAAGACCAGGAATTGGGATGACTTCAGATTTCTCCAAAGCAATGCTGGAAGCAAGAAGACAATGGAACATAGCCTCCAAAAGTCTAAAGTAAAGCAATTTCTAACCCTAGTTCTCTACCCAAACTATCAAAACAAGTGGAAGGGTAAAATAAAAAATAAGTCAGAAATACAGGTTTTTAAAAATGTATCTTCTATACATCCTTTTTTTCTTTTTTTTCTTAAACTTTATTTATTTATTTGACAGAGAGAGAGAGAGAGAGAGCACAAGCAGGGGGAATGGGAGAGGGAGAAGCAGGCTCCCCATGGAGCAGGGAGCCCAACACAGGGCTCAATTCCAGGACCCCATGACCTGAGCTGAAGTCAGATGCTCAACCATTTGAGCCACCCAGGTGCCCACATACATCATTCTTCAAGAAGCTGCTGAAGGAGGTTTCCACCAGAACAAGGGAGTGAACCCAAAAAGAAGATGTGAGCTACAGAAGAGGGGTACTCCAGGGCAAGGGAGGATGGAAGGGAATATTTCGAGCGTGATGGGGAGGGGAGACTCCGGGGCAACAACTTAGTACCAACTGTAGACAGTAACTGGTAAGTAGACATATGGGCCCCTGAAGATGTCCATGTCCTAATTCCAGGAACCTCTAAGTATATTGTGCTACATGGTTAAGGGAGAACTAAGGTTGTAGATGGAATTAGATTGCTAATCAAGTTACCTTAAAAAGGGGGAAATAATCCTGGATTATCTAGGTGGCCCCAGTGTCATCACAAATTTCCTTAAAAGATGGAAGAGGGAGGGGCACCTGGGTGGCTCAGATGGTTAAGCATCTGCCTTCAGCTCAGGTCATGATCTCAGGGTCCTGGGATGGAGCCTCGCATCAAGCTCCCTGCTCATAGAGGAGTCTGCTTCTCCCTCTCCCTCTGCCTCTTCCCCAGCCCCTGTGACAATGCAAAGGGAGAGTTGGCTCTCATAGCCACTGTCCCCAATGAAGGCACGATGCCCCAAATCAGCAAAACTGTACTTTTCCCCACATGAGGGCATGAAAGAGTGTAATGAAGAGGGATCAAGAAATCTCCCCTACGAACCAAGCCAGGCATTAAGCAAGAACAAGCAAAGAAAAAGATTTTTAATCATCATTTTATGCCAAGAAATCCAGTGAAGACCAGGGACCCCAAATCCCAGGAATAAAAAGGATGAAAATATGAACTTTGTACCCAAAACTAACACCCTTACCTGACACGGTCGGCATTGCCTTTGCTACCCTAAGCACAGAGCTTGTGGCTGCCAAAACCCCTCATGACCATTATAGAGAAGAATTTGGAGGTCTTCAATGGTTAAAAATGTAAACATCTTGGCGCTGCCCATAACTGTGCCCTACATGGCTGTGTGCGGTGTCAGGAAACATGCCGGTGTCACTTACAGCACACAGTACCCAGAACTGAGATTCCTAGCAGCCAGAAGCCATGATGACAAGGTTTGGATGAAGCTACAGACCTGAGGTTTGACTGCGAGAGTGAGTCTTTAACCTTCCTGTTAGAGGTCATCAGGCGTGGCTTTGTGGCAGCAGTGGTTCTGGGGGGAACCGGCACGAAAGCTCTTGTCCCCAGCGTTTTCCCTGCTAAACGATCAGTCAGGGTGGGAGGAACAGTCTGCAGATAATGGAGGAGGAACAATGTGGCCCCAGTTCTTTACAGAACCTCATAGAGTGAGAACACATGAGGCAGCAGCTTCATACAAAACGTACTTTGTCAAGGAAATAAACAATTGCCTCACTCGGTACAGAGGCAAAGAGCATAATCGAATACAAGACAGGGGGCCCTGGTTAGTCCTGAGAGTGCACATTTTACGGGGGGCGGGGGAGGGGAGCGCAACCCGCCCCAGAGTCAGCACTACGTTCAGACATCACCGTGGCTGATTTCCTGGTGGCAGGGCTGCTGGGTGAGCCCAGCCTTGGCGCTGAATTACAGGAGGTCTGATCACAGAAAGGGCCCCTGGTATGCGGCACAGGTCTTAAAGCAGAAGATCGTGAAAGAGAAAAACTGTCCCTCATTAGAAATGCTAAGAAAGCTGCCTTTTTTTTTTTTTTAACGTGGACAAACAGAAATTCTATGAGACCACAGAAAATGAGCTGTCTATGCTACACAGCGTTAAAGCCTCAGAACTGTTTCCAGGAAAAGGAAACTTCTCGTGTGGTTTCTTCACCTTGAGCAATGTTTAAGTCGGTAAAAGACCAATGGTTATTCAAAACACAGGATTCTTCCCTGGCAGTGACTCACGTCGCGGGCCACGGTGCACAACCGTGCTGGTCCACGACGGCGCCGACTTGCCCGTCTCCACACCCTTGCCCCCACCCCGAGTGTGACACCCGTTTGTCTTCTAGGGGCCTGATGCCCAGCCACCGCCAGCGGACAGGGACACAGGCTGAGGACGCACCTGGTCACTGCGGGCGACTCCATAGCGCAGCTCATTCACAAAGTGCTCACAGTTCTCAGAGGGCAACGAATAGGGCAACTCCTGCCCCACCAGCCCCTCCGCCCGTTGGACGATTTTGCTGGGAGGCAGCGGTGAGTACTTGTCATCATGTTTGTTATTGACCTGGTACTTGTCTCTCCCCACCACATCATACAGCAGTTCCTTCTTCACTATGGCCTTCTCAGTCAGGGTGGACATGATGCTGGCCACACCAGCTCCCGCAACTTCGCCTAAGGAGTCACAAAGAGGAAACAGAGGGATTGGTCCTGGGCAGGCCCATCGGGGTCCATCCACAGGCCCTGGGCAACCACCCACAAGAGCACGAGCAGAAGGGAAGGGAAAAGGGAGCAGGGTCAGACACATGCTGTGTGGCTTTGGAGAAGGTGCTTGTGGTCTCTTGGCCCTGGCTTCCTTATCTGAAAGGAGGACTGGTGAGGTTTCTAGAGAAGCTGGCCTTCTACACCTGTGGCTCCCCAGTGGCCCTCTTGGTTATGCAAATATGGGCCCTGAGCACACCCTTCTCCCTGGCGGAGCAGATTATGAACCTTCTGTGATTCCATCAAGGCTACACTCCCTTGACAAATACAAAGCAGATTACTGCAGAAAGGGTGGATGGATGGGTAGTTTCTACCCTTGGAGCAAAAGGACCAAAACCCCAGAGCAACTTCTCGAGATGCATTGCCAGGGAGACCCAGTAGGTACACCAGCACAGCCCTGGCTGAGATGAGGGGCTGGAAGGAGCAACAAAGCTCCAGAAATTAAACTGCCTATGGGATATTACTCGGCCATAAAAGAAGATCTTGCCTTCTGCAACAACATGGACGGACCTACAGGGTGTGATGCTGAGCGAAATAAGACAGAGAAAGACAAATACCATATGATTTCACTGGTATGTGGAATCTCAAAAACAGAACAAATGACTAAAGAAATAAACAAAGAGCAGAAACAGGCCTGTAAGACAGAGAATGAACGGGTGGTCGCCAGAGGGGAAGGAGAGGGGAGATGGGCAAAATGGGTGAAGGGGAGGGCGAGGAACAGGCTCCCAGTTACAGCATGAATAAGTTACGATGATAAATAGAAAACTCAAAGAAAGGGAGTCAATACAAGGACCAGGATGGTGGGCAGGGGAGGCTGATGTCAGCACAAGCCTGGGCAGCTCCCCAAGGCAGCCAACCTACACGGTTGGGGATGATGGCCGAAAAAGTGGGTGCGCACCAATGAGGTGGGCCCCAGAGAGACCCACTATCCCTCAGACAGCCTCGGTGGCCCTGCTGGGATGGGATCTCCAAGGCCCTTCCCCGCAGGGGAGGCATCCTGTTAGGCGGGCCAGGGACAGTCTTCCACATGACACCATGTGACAGCAACAAGCAATGGCAGGAGGGGCTGATCAGATTCCAGGTCTTTCCAAAGAGGACTAACTCCCTTTGCCCTGAGTAGATAGATTCCTGAGATTTTTAGAAGACCAGGGGAGTTCAGACTTGCTACCAATGGGGCAGGAGATGTTTGAGGGAGCCATTGGACTAAAGAAAAGAGAGGGTACCATACGGAGCTCTTAGTTTGTGGAGAGGGTCAGCATGGGAATGGGACCAGGTGAGTTTCAGTCCCCAGGCAGGGAGGGTGGCAGGGCTGAGACGGGGTTGAAGTAAGCAGAGTGCCTACAGCACAAAACTTAAGGAGGCTCCAACTCGCAGGGCCAGGCACGTACAGAGTCAACCCGTAAAAGTGAGGCTTCCTTAAGTTTTGCGCTGTGGGTGCCACTCTGGTGGGTGGTACAATAGGGCTGACAATCAGAAACTCTGGGTTTGGATTCTGGCTGCATCACTGAGTGGTCCTGACACACCACTTAACCTTGCTGGGCCAACACTGTGCAAGTCCCCAAATACACACCAAAATTGATACACAAACATGTATCAATAGTCATTTAAAGCTCCTTTTAAAAATTTTTTTCCATTTTTAAAGTTAGTCCATTAAAGAAAATATTAGTTCAACAATCAGAGAAAGGGCATGTGGACAGGGTACACATTTCATAAGTGAGTTTTGGGAAATGTCAGACTAGGCAGTGTAGCATCATGGGAAAAGGCACAGAGTCAAGAGACAGCCAGAGTTCGAGTCCCACCTCCACTGCTTACCTGCCCTGTGACTTTGGGCAAGGATTCACTTCTGTGAATCCCCAATTCCTTGTAAAGCAGGGACAATAACAGCCCTACCTGTCCCTACAGCACCATGACAGGGGGAGGGGCTGCAAGGATTACCGAAGCTGGCCACGTAAGGTGGCTTCTCTGGTACCTGGCACAGGGTGAGTGCCCAGCAAGTGTCAGCTCTCATCATCAGAGTTGTTCCCCAAGCTTCTTTCCAACTCTAATCTCTACCATTTTCTGAGTAGCATGAGGTCAGTCCTGACCTATCTGGCAAGGTTCCCACGAAGCTCTAGTGAGAAGATGCGTGTGGAAGCATCTTTTCCCTTTAAGGAGCATTCCCTGCCCAAAGACTGTGGCACAGCTGTCCCCAGGATTCCTGTCATGCTCTCCCCTGCCTCCTGTCCACCAGGTACATCCTCAGTGCAGTCAGTCAACGCTGCGGCCCAGCTGTGTGGGGCCTTGTCCAAGGTGCTGGAGGCAGCGGCATGAACTAGACAGGGCACCTGCCCTCAGGTAGCTCACATTCCAGTGAGAGGACCCCCCCCCAACAATGAACAAATAGACAAAATCAGGTACTTCCGGGTAGTGAAAGTGCTACGGATTAGATTGAGTGAAATATTACAGAAGGGGTGACTCGGGGAGGCCCGGCATGGGAAGGGCCACCCCAGGGAATGGGAGTTGAGAGGAGTCTGGAATGATGGAAAGGAGGTAGCCGTGCTGAGATCCAGGGAAGAGCATCACATGCAGAAGGAAGGGCAAGAGCAAGGGCCTCAGAAAGGAAGAGCATGGCATGCTTCAGAGCTGTAGGAAAGCCAATGTGGCTGACGTCAAGAGACCCAGGAGGATGGGAGAGAAAGATCCAGGTCAGAGAGGCAGGCAGAGGCCAGACCACACCAGGCCCCACAGGCCACAGTACAGACTTGGAACCTCTTTCTATGTGTGATAGAAAACCCAGTCAAGAATTTAAGGGACAGGGCACCTGGGTGGCTCAGTCGTTAGGCGTCTGCCTTCGGCTCAGGTTGTGATCCCAGGGTCCTGGGATCGAGCCCCACATCGGGCTCCCTGCTCAGAGGGAAGCCCGATTCTCCCTCTCCCATTCCCCCTGCTTGTGTTCCCTCTCTCGCTGTGTCTCTCTCTCTGTCAAATAAATAAATAAAATCCTTAAAAAAAAAAAAAGAATTTTAAGGGACGTCTTCTTCCTGACTGGTCTTTGGTGAGTTCTGTCTCAAAGCTGGTGGGAAGCACCCCCACATCCTGGTCACTGCCTTTTCCTCATCCCCCCAGGGACCTGCCCTACTCAACTTGGGGTGCTGTGATGGGGAGGTGCCTGGGCGAGGTCTGGCACTCAAGAGTGCTTAGGTGCCAACAGCAAGATGTCTTCAAGAAATGCCAAAACTGGGTACCTTGACCCCAACTTCAAAGCCATGGCCGTTATGCCAGATGGCCAGTTCAAAGGCATCAGCCTCCCTGACTACAAAGGAAAATACATTGTGTTCTTCTTCTACCCTCTTAACTTCTCCTTTGTGTGCCCCATGGAGATCATTGCTTTCAGTGACAGACAGAAGAATTTAAGAAACTCAACTGCCAAGTGGCTGGTGCTTCTGTGGATTCTCACTTCTGTCACCTGGCGTGGATCAACACACCCAAGAAACAAGGAGGACTGGGACCCATGAACATTCCCCTGGTATCAGACCCCATGTGTACATCGCTCAGGACTATGGAGTCTTAAAGGCTGATGAAGGCATCCCGTTCAGGGGTTTCTTTATTATTGATGATACGGGTTTCCTTCGGCAGATGACAAAGGATGACCCCCACCCCCGGTCGGCCACTCTGTGGGTGAGACTTTGCGACTGGTTCAGGCCTTCCAGTTTACTGACAAGCATGGGGAAGTGCCCCCCACTGGCTGGAAGGCTGGCAGTGATACCATCAAGCCTGCCGTGCAGAAGAGCAAAGAATACTTCTCTAAGCAGAAGTGAGTGCTGGGCCATTTTAGGGCCAGGCTGCAGTGGGCGGCCATGAAAACAAAATTTATTTTATACTACTGTCATGCTGAAAACACAAGACTTTAGATTCAGTGCAGATGTGGTATGGGACAGGACAGGCCTCTCTTGCAGGGGCTGGGGAGGCCAACCTTTCTTCCTCTGGAGAGAATTGCCTGAACCGTGCTATTGGGCAGGTCAGCTGATGTGGCCAGTAGTGGGACATCACTTTTGATCTTTTGTGGTCTCTATTAAACTTGAACGGAGGGGGAAAAAAAAGAATTTTAGGGAGAGAAGTAACATAATCTGATTCATACTTTAGAATGATCATGCTGGTTGCCCAGGAAAGGAGGGACTGACCACAAGTGGGCAAGAGGCAGAGAGACCAGCCGCAAGCTGCAGGAGCTTCAGATGGGCATGGAAGTGCAGACAGTGAGAAGTGATCAGACCTGGAGTCTCTCCTGGAGAGAGAGGCAAGCAGATTTCCCGTTGCATTAGATATGGGGTGAAAAGGATTGAGAATGATACCTAGATTTTTGCCTCCAGCAGCTGGATAGTGTCATCCACTGGAGCCTTTCTTTCAGAGCATGTCAGGTTCAATGAGCCAACTGGACACCCACATGGAGATGCCAGGTAGTCAAGAGGTTAATCAAGTCTGAAGCTGAGTGGGGAGGTCTATGCTGAGGGGGGCTTGGGAAACATCCACCAGTGGAAAATATTGGAAGCCAGAGGCCTAATGAAGTCACCTGGGGAGAGTAAGGATGAGGGGTATGGGTGAGGAGGAAGAGGAGCCCACACAGGAGACCAAGAAGGAAAGGCCCAGTGAGAGAGGAAGAAAGACAGGTGCCAGATGAAGATCAGAGAGAGGTCACTCGTGTCAAATGCTACAGAGAAGCCAAGTAAGCCTTGACCAAAAAATTAACCATTGGCTTTGTCAAGATGTGGAAGGTCTAAGGGAGCCTAGGTGGTTCAGTCATTAAGCGTCTGCCTTCGACTCAGGTCATGATCCCAGGGTCCTGGGATCAAGCCCCACATCAGGCTCCCTGCTCCGCGGGAAGACTGCTTCTCCCTCTCCCACTCCCCCTGCTTGTGTTCCCTCTCTTGCTGTGTCTCTCTCTGTCAAATAAATAAATAAAATCTTTGAAAAAAAGAAAAGAAATGTGGAAGTACTTTCAGTAGCCTTGATAAGCACTCCTTTGGGAGGGGGCTGAAAAAGAGAGCCTGGTGGAGGGAACCGAAGACAGAATGGCAAGAGGAAGCGCTGAGGGCCATGGTGGACGATCGAAGATTCGCTCTACAGGGAATTAGCTAGAGAAGATGTGAGGTCAAGGGAGTATTCGTTCATTCTATCAACAGGAGGTATTACAGTGTTTTCTATGCCAATCAGAATAATCTAGCAGAGAGGGGGACCATGATAATACAGGAGGTGAGGAATTTGAGGAGCAAAGTGCTCATGAAATTAAGAGTGGGGGTCTAGGACCCACACACAGAGGCTGGCTTTTTAAACAAGGACAGGGCATGTTTTGAATCTTAACTGAAGAAAAGGCAGACTAGGTGGGTGCAGATGTTGGTGGTTTGGTTCATCAGGGCTGGGGAAGGTGCCATATACTCTGGTTCCTTCTGACTCCTCCATAAGTACAGGGTGAGGCCATTAGTTAGAGGTGAAGGGGTGGGCAAAGGATGTGTCCAAGAATGTCCACACCTACTGTAGTCTCAGCAGCCAAACACGGGAACCAATCCAACGTCCATCAGTAGAAGCATGGATAACAAGCTGAGGCATTTTCATATAACAGAAAACACACAGAATGAAAAAGAACTCCTCCTACTGCTCACAAACCGATGGCTCTCACGGGCAAGGGAAGAAGCCAGACACAAAAAAAGCCCAGACTGTGTGGCTCCTCCCACACGAAGGTCTAGAACAGGCAAAACTAATTTACAGCAAGAGAAGCTAGAAGAGTAGTTGTCTCTAGGGAAGAGGAGAGGAGGCTGAAGAGACCTGAGGGGGCCTGGCAGAGTGGTAGAAATGTTCTAGATCTTGATGTGGGTCACTGTCACATGGAGACTTTTTTTTTAATTCCCTGACTATACACTTTACTACAGTTGTGCACTTTACCATATTTATGTTATACCTCAGTTTAAGTAACAAGTTTCAGAAAAGGGATGGGGGAAGTCTCACAACAATCCTCCTAATGCAGCACTCTTAGCCTCAGTTTTACAGATAATGGAAACCAAGACTAGAGAGTAGAAACTAGATTCGTCACCAAGCCTGCTGCCCCAAAGCCCATGCTCTCTCAGGGAGTTTTACATTGAAGAGGTGAATGTGTTTTATAAACACCCACAGTATTTAAAACCATAAAAACAGAGCCATCCCCTTGGAAGCCCACCTCAACCCCTGTAGGGAACCCCTAGGGTTCCAAGGAGTAGAGTTTGAAGACCACTGCCCCACACCAACCTGCCTGAGGAACCAACCACCGGTCAGGGATCAATGAGAGAGCTGGGCTCCCCTGTCACTCACAGCTGCCCCATCTCCCTCTCCTCCCAGCCCCAGCACAGCAGAGGCCCTCGGCGCCCTTACTTGGGGGGGCCAGGTGGACCACGTATCCATCGCCAACGTAGATGGCCCAGTGTCTGTAGAAAGGGCGGAAAATCTCAATCAGGTCTCCAACTTTGGGCTCTGGCTGCAAAACCAAGAACAAGGCTGTTAGAGGTGGTGCAAGTGAGACCTTTGGAACCAGGTGGCAGAGGCTGGGGTCCCTTGCCAAAGGCTGTCAAACTGGGAGGGTGTCTCCCAGACATTCCCCAACCTGGCCTAGGGCCTGACCAAGAATTGGCATGTCTCTGGCCATAATGTCCTCCTGGCTGCTCATCCTGATGATGAGTGGCTGTGTGTGTGTGTGTGTATGTGTAAGTGTGAGTATGTGAATAAAGGAAAATTCTTTCTCCTGTAAACTATATTCACACCTACACTTCTGACACCAGATATGTGGTTTTTCCCCACCAAGCAATCCAGTCCTCAGTGGAAATGGACTGGGTATCCTGCAGTTTATCTCAATTCTGACACTAACTGCCTGGAGCTAACGCAGACCCCAGGGGTGAAGGGCTCAGTCCCACCAGACTGCCCCCCCAAAATTCACCCCCAGCGGCCAGCCACACGTCCACATTGTCCCCTGTGCTTCTGACTCCACTAGCTATAAATTGGGGGTTTCCACAACCCCCTCCTCAGGTTCTATAATTTGCTAGAATGGCTCACAGAACTCAGGAAAACAGTTTACTTATTAGATTACCAGTTTGTTATAAAGAATTCAACTCAGGAACAGCCAGATGGCAGACCAGCGGGGGAGAGGCAGAGCTGCCACGCCCTCTCCAGAGGCCAGTGTCCCAGCACCTCCGTGTGTTCTGCCCAGAAGCTCCCCAACCCCTTTCAGTTTTTACCGAGGTTTCCTTCCACAGGCAGGACCGATTAAATCATTGGTCCTAATGATTAACTCACCCTCCAGCCTCTTGCCCCGCCCAGGAGGTTGGAGGCGGGGCTGAAATTTCCAGCCCTCTAATCAGGTGGGTTCCTCATCACCTCATTAGCATAAACTCAGGTGGGGATGAAAGGGGCTTATGATGAATAACAAAAGACTCGTCTCTCCCATCACTCAGGACCTTACAAGGGTTGTAGAAGCCCAGTGCAGGGAATTGGGAACAAAGACCAAAACTGTATTTCTTCAGCATAATTATGCTGAGCGAAATAAGTCAATCAGAGAAAGACATGCATCATATGACCTCACTGCTATGAGGAATTCTTAATCTCAGGAAACAAACTGAGGGGTGCTGGAGTGGTGGGGGGTGGGAGGGATGGGGTGGCTGGGTGATAGACATCGGGGAGGGTATGTGCTACGGTGAGCGCTGTGAATTGTGCAAGACTGTTGAATCACAGACCTGTACCTCTGAAACAAATAATACATTATATGTTAAAAAAAAAAAAAGGAAAAGAAGATAGCAGGAGGGGAAGAATGAAGGGGGGAAATCGGAGGGGGAGACAACCATGAGAGCCTATGGACTCTGAAAAACAAACTGAGGGTTCTAAAGGGGAAGGGGGTGGGGGGATGGGTTAGCCTGGTGATGGGTATTAAAGAGGGCACATTCTGCGTGGAGCACTGGCTGTTATGCACAAACAATGAATCATGGAACACTACATCAAAAACTAATGATGTAATGTATGGTGATTAACATAACAATAAAAAAATTTTTTAAATTAAATTAAAAAAAAGAAAGATGCCTGAAAAGATGACAAAAATATCTACAAAGAAATTCAAACCTTATCACCATAAACCCCACAAGATAATGGAGCAGCGAATGCATGTTACTGAGTAGAAGTCATACCCAAAAAGCAACGCAATTGTAGTAATCCATTCATGTCCCATCCCAGAAAAGGCATCACTGTAGGACAGAAAGTGATCAGTGACTGCCAGGGGCTGGGAGTGAGGAGGGGGGCTGACAACAAAGGGGCAGGAGGGAATTGGGAGGCAACTAAACTTTCCCTACTGTTCTGTGTCTGACGGTGGTGAGTTATGCAATTGTATGTGTTGATGAAAACTCATAGGAACAAACACTAACGGGGTGCCTGGCTGGCTCAGTCGGTGGAGTGACTGACTCTTGATTTCAGGGTCATGAGTTCAAGCCCCATGCTGGGTGTAGAGACTGCTAAAACAAATATAAACTTTTCAAAAAAATAAATTATGTTTTAGAAAAGAACACTAAAAGGAATTTTAGACCTCAGTTTTTTTAAACACAACATTTTTTTAATGTATTTAAATTTTTTTTAATTTTGGGGTGCCTGGGTGGCTCAGTTGGTTAAGTGTCTGCCTTAAAGTCGGGTCATGATCTCAGGGTCTTGGGATCTACCCTGTCGCTGCCGTGAGACTCCCTGCTTCTCTCTCTCCCTCTGTCTCTCTTCCCACTGCTCATGCACTCTCTCTCTCTCTCTCTCTCTCTCTCTCTCGCTCTCATATAAATAAATAAAATCTTTAAAAATATTTGAGAGCGAGAGAGTGAGAGCAAAAGCAGGGCGAGAGGGAGAAGCAGGCTCCCCGCTCAGCGGGGAGCCCGATGTGGGGCTCGATCCCAGGACCCTGGGATCATGACCTGAGCCCAAGGCAGACGCTTAACGACTGAGCCACCCAGTTGCCCTTAAAATTTTTTTTATCTTAATGGATATCTATTGTTTGAAAGGAAAAGGTTTTTTTTTTTACTTTTTTTTTTTTTGATGTAGTGTTCCATGATACACTGTTTGCGTATAACACCCAGTGCTCCATGTAATACGTGCCCTCCTTAATACCCATCACCAGGCTAACCCTTCCCCCCACACCCTCCCCTCTAGAACCCTCAGTTTGTTTCTCACAGTCCACAGTCTCTCATGGTTCATCTCCCCCTCTGATGTCCCCCCCTTCATTTTTCCCTTCTTATTATCTTCTTTTTTTTTTAACATATAATGTATTGTTTCAGAGGTACAGGTCTGTGATTCATCAGTCTTACAATTCACAGTGCTTACCATAGCACATACGCTCCCCAATGTCTATCCCCCAGCCACCCCATCCCTCCCACCCCCCTCCACTCCAGCAACCCTCAGTTTGTTTCCTGAGATTAAAAATTCCTCATATCGGGGCACCTGGGTGGCTCAGCTGTTAAGCGTCTGCCTTCGGCTCAGGTCATGATCCCAGGGTCCTGGGATCCAGCCCCGCATCAGGCTTCCTGCTCGGTGGGAAGCCTGATTCTCCCTCTCCGACTCTCCCTGTTTGTGTTCCCTCTCTCTGTGTGTCTCTCTCTGTCAAATAAATAAAATCTTTAAAAAAAAAAAAAGAATTCTTCAGATCAGTGAGATCATATGATACATGTCTTTCTCTGATTGACTTATTTCACTTAGCATAATACCCTCTAGTTCCAGAAAGGAAAAAAGTTTTGATTTTTAAAATACACAATCAAATTGCCTGCCCCTTGTAAGGGCAAAGGTACCTATTTCCAAATACGCACAAGGTCAAAACATAATACCACTCAAGGACACTTTTTTAAAATGAAATGAAAAGGGGCGCCTGGGTGGCTCAGATGGTTAAGCGTTTGTCTTCAGCTCAGGTCATGATCTCCAGGACCTGGGATCCAGCCAACGTTTGGCTTCCAGCTCAGCAGGGAGTCTGTCTCTGCCCCTCCTGCTGCTTCTCCCCCCCTGCTCGTGCTCTCTCTCTCTGTCTCTTTCAAATGAATAAATAAAATTTTTTAAAAAATGAAGTGAAAGGTGGTGGACTCATCTGGGGAGATGATCTGCCCACGAGTTTCTAACTAGTGCAAGGACTCGATTTTCACATGGCAACAGGGATAATCTTTTAGAGACGGAGCTAAGTGGAAAAATGAGAATGAGCTCTGCAATGCAACACCACTTATATCAGTTAAAGATACACACACGCAAACCAATGATACACATCCTATAAGAACCATACCTGAAAACATCATTTTAAAAAACCAACAAGAACAAGAACAGAAGCATATGGACTAAAGAACACACATTAAACACATCAGGATGCTGGCCGCTGGGAAGATGGGGGAAGGCATGATGATACAAAGGAACCAAAAACAAAAAACAAAAACAAAAACCCGCAAGAGAGGAGGTCTTGTAGGAATCAGTGAGGACAGGGTGTCATGAACTGAGAATATGAATGACATCACCCTCTATCATAAAATCCAACTAGAGAAACAATAACTTAATGATACACATGAGCCAACTCAGCTGAATCAAAGTGAAGAACTCAAGGAACGAGGTTATAAAACTAGAAGTATGAGAACTACAGCCCAGGAGCCAAATTGGTGCCTCTGCTTATTTTTGTATGCAAGCTAAGAACGGTTTTTACATTTTGGAAATGGTTGGGGGAAATCAAAAGAGGAAGGATGATCTGTGACACATGAAATTTTATGAAATTCAAACTTCAGCGTCCACAAAGCTTTATTGGCACACGGCCACACCCCATTCATTTACATCTTGTGCTGGGCTGCTTTCTCTCTACAGCAGATGAGTTGAGGAGTTGTAATGGAGACCGTGTGACCTGCAAACCCTAAAATCTTCCACTATCTGGCCCTTTACAGAAAAAGCTTGCCAGGTCCTGCTATAAAAAGATGGACTGTGATGCCTCCCTTACTCAGCTTGATCCACAGTCCCAGGGATTCATTGCCAGGTGGTTCTTCCTCTAGGAAGAAGGAGGCCAGCAGGAGGCTCCAGGAAGAGAGTTCCCTCTCCAGGTCAGGGCTCAGGGGATCCCCGGCGTGCACAGTAACCAGGCCTCAACTACGCAACTTGGAACGCAGGCGCTAACAATGGCAAAGCTGAGACTCTGTGCCCATGGGATTTCAGAACAAAAGGCCTTTATCCTTTCCACAAAAGCAGGGTTACAAAGAACTGCATAACAACCATTTTCCTTAGCAAGCAAACTGAGGAACAATTTCTGGCCTCCAAAATTATCAGATAAACAACCTAAATAACCATTTATAAGAACCAATTAAATAAATTATCCTGCATCCATATGTACATATATACATAGAGCCATTAGAGAAAACAAGGTGGATTTATGTGAGCAGACGTGGAACTGGTTGAAAAAAGCACGTTGAAAAACATTACTATCCCGTTTTTGCTTAAAATACATTTTAA